TGGATAAACAGTAGCAGCAGGGGACTGCTTTATGCAGACAGGAACTGTCTCTCTTCTGCAGGTCTTTTGGCTTTAATAGGATAAAATGTGACAGGTACACACAAACCAGTGGCCACTCAGTGAGACTGGGCTGTAAAGCTAATTCACAGTGTATCCCAAAGCTTGGAAAGCAATGCTATAAATCCTCCAGTGCTAATAAGTCTTAAAGTGATGATTATTTTGGATTGAAAGGTTTCCGCTCTTAGAGCTGATGGACGGATCTGAAACAACGACGCAACAGCATCTACAGCGTTCAATAAGGTTGTGGAATAAACAGGCAAAATACTGACAACAAATGTTGAAGATGTGTTATACTCTCACTTAAATAAATTATATTAATATGGTGATTTTGGAAAGGAAAGTTGTGTTTCTATAAGTCCCCAGTTCTTCCCAAGATTTTTATTTTATTTATTTATTTTATGAGGTGAAAGATATATTTTTAACTGACAACACTTGCACAGTCTGGACCCGACAAATCCTACTTTTTTGTGGTACAAGAAATTACTGTTTTAACTCGATTTGACAAAGCAGTTTTATCATTGTGTATTTGATGATGGACCTGGTTTTATTCTTTCTCTTATTTGAAGGGTAAAACACCACCAGTACATTGAATAATCAGTTACAATAATAATAAACGTATTTGTCAAATGATCATTATTAACTCAATGAAGTATCCTCTGTAATGCTCATCACTGCTGTACTCATGCTTTTGCTTTAGTAGAACATTTGATGACAAGGTAGAAATAGTTTCAAAGTTTCAAGAAAAATACAGAAGCCCTTAAATAACTGCAAAAATAGCTCTATTACAGAGATAAAAATCTGCTAGTGTCATACCTGAAAACCCAAGTTTTCTGCCCTCTAGAACGGAGTTATTATTATATCATTCACTGGACTCTGCTGGCCCTGAGGAATAACATACGTTAACTTTTAAAATTGTCTGGCACTTGATATGACGGCTCAAACCATCAACCTATTTTGAGCCATCAGTCCCATTAATCCGCAGTATTAGATGAATCGCGATCCAAAAAAAAAAAAAAGGACATCCGTCAGCAGAGAGAGGGGCTTCCCCTCAAGGGTCTTATCCTAAGTCAGCCCAACACGAGAGGCGTGGAATTAAAGAGCACTGATTACCATTGTGAATTATCTTTTTCATAGCAGGGATGCACGAGCCGCTTTGAAACGCACAGTTAGAAAAATCCCCAGTAAAAAAAACAGTCTCCAAACACGGATAATACCATTTAAGAAATCGTCTCATTGGTCTTGGAGAAGTCCGAGCTTTATCTTAGCACATAACAAGCCGAGCGTTCATAAATTGTAGCTTCAATTGGATAATTGGATCACTTTCTGGAGGATTAATTGCGGCTGCGTGTTATTACACTTTATACTTCATGTGGACTTCATGTGGACTGACTTTAAATTGATTGTTTATTCTTGTAGTGAAAGTGTATGTATGAGAGGAAGAGGAAGACTATAAGGGTATAAAGGAAGGTATAAAGTTGCCAATAATGTTTTGCAGTTAAAAATAAGTCTCATGTAGAGCTGTGTGTTTTCCTGTTAAATATATAAAGTGTTTAGTTTGTGTTTTTACAGGAATCCTTGTCTGAAAGGTTAAATTGACCAAAGCATAACAAACTACATTATGTCAATGTCCTTGAGAAGATGAAGACACGTTACTGTAAGAGAAAGGGAGGGAAAATAGGATTTAGGATGTCTGGGCCAGAATTTATACTTCCTTGTTCTGCGATAAAGTGCTCTATAATCTGGAAATAGAGTTTTCTTTAAAATATTACGTTTGAAGGCAGAGGATAGAGGGGGGGAGCAAAAGCAGAGCTCAAGCAGGCCTCATAATCTAATAAATTGATTTGCAATATCCTCTGAAACTGTGAACTGATAAATGTAGCTTCTCATGTCGCCCCGCCTCGTCTCCAGCTCTCTGCTTAATGGGCTTCGGCGCATTGAAAAGACAAAAGGACGGCCCCAGTAGTTTTGAAAACTATTCCAGTCGCCTTAATGTAAGCGCTCATCTGGGCCTCGCCAGTGGTCACCCAAGGATTAGGGCTGCTGTATTCCTAAGCTCGCTTTCTCTCTTCTCTCTCTGTAACCCTCTCTCTTTTTTCACCAGTTCTATTCTTTGACCAAAAGCTAGGATACACCCGAGACAAGGCATTAAACATCGCCGGCAAGTGGAGAAAAAAAACAGATTATCCTTGGATATGAACTCCCATGTTCTTGGGATTGCTGGACAGCTGTAGCCAAAATGAACAATAAGCGGCTGACTTGGGGTCTGTAGCCAGTATCATCTGCACTAGCAGATTGCAGCAGAACACAAAATAAGATCCGGTGACTTCACAGGGCCGTCACAACACCATACGGCCCTAACATGTAAAAAATAGAACTAATCTGAGGCCACAGAGGAGACCTCAACTCATTTTTAACTGCCGCATTTCTAGTGGGGAAAGACTTACCACCCATGATTCCATTGGGCGGGTATGGAAGATGCCACCCTACTCTACCCCCCCGCCAAAACATTACAGCACACAAAAGAGGAGAGAAAAATAACAAAATGTGATTTGCACCCAAATCCTCTCAAGTCCTCAGAGTGTGGCATGAAACGTCTCTTTGGAAGAGCTGAATGGATCTCCCAGAGGTATTGTGTCTTCTAATGGCTTATTTATCATTGCCGTCAGCCGCATGCCGTTATCAAATGTTTTGTTTGCTCGCAAGGTGTACCTGCGTCTCATGCAGGCCTGCAAGGGATTACCAGAAATCTGGACCGGCGTCAAAAACCAGCAAGAAGACGCGACTAAGACGGGGAGAAAGACAGCAGCTCTAGGTTTGGCACTCTGGCTTGGACCACACAGATCACCGGGGACACTCACATGAAAACATTCTCCTCTCCGTGTATTTAATAAATGCCACTTGACATTGGGAGAGGCTTTAGCCGTGTCCCCCCGCTTTGGAGGAATGAGGACTTGCTCTGGATTTGGGCAGTTGGCGGGGCCTATCTCCACACTGGCAGGAAGCATCAGGGATTTCATGGCTGTTTGCCCACTCTGGTGCTTTTCCTCTGCCTCACGCCCCACTTGGGCAGACAGTTTTTTTTCTTCTGTAGTCTGAGTTGCCTTCGTTAGGTTCACAAAGACATTTACATGTTTCCCTGCCTGAATACATGTGACCTCTGTACATGAGGAAAAAAAACATACAAACTTTTTAAATTACACAATCTAACAATTAACTTTATAACAACGAAACATTTTTATATAGCACAATTAACAGAAAAGTTCTTTGTCAGCTTGTGATTTTATGTTTCCCAGTTTGAGGGTTGATTACTTGTTTTGGGTTCATGGCTTTTATTTGTCATATATAACAAATAAATTGAAATATCTATCCAGGCGTGGAATTATGTCATTTTTAGGGCAAATACAAAATATTTGAGTAGGAGTAATCTCACGCTACTGTTGATGACAGAAGCTGGGAAACATACATTTGTTTATCTGCTGTGTCCCATGTAGCTTTAAATGAGGAAATTCGTAACTTTCATTTCAGGGCAAAAGCTGTGCAGCAGTGGGTAGCAGCACACTGGTTGAGGCCATCAAGGTGGGGCCAGTGACGGCAGAGCAGGAGGTCACAACAAAAACAACAATCAGGAAGCAAAGAAGCTAAATGTTGATGTACTTCAGTGTCAGATGTTCCAAAGAACAGCTGGCGACAGCTCATTAAGATGACTTGAAGTGTCGGGCGATCTAACAGTTCCACTTCCTGTGCACAGTTGCATAATTTAGCTTTAAAACCCATTTCTGTGTTTCCCACAGAACAGAACATCATGTACATCCCTCTCTTATCCAACAGCAGAGATGTTCCCCTGTTCCCACAACAGTGTGTGCATGTATGTACATGTACGTGTGTGTGTGTGTGTTCATCCCTTCCAGACGGCTGTGGCTGAGCCGGATGGGAGGTGAATCAGGGTGGGGGCGGGGTTAAGAGGTACGTTAATGTAGCTGTAGGGTCCGAACATCTGCATAGCCTCAGAGCATCCAGCCTGCTCGACCAGCTAGCAGCTGTGACCGCCTCTGCACGGCCTTTGGGCAGTTGTGCATAGGTTTTGGCTTTTTTTATTTATTTTTTCCCTTGTTGTTCTTGTAGCATGTTTCTCCTTCTTAGTATAACTTTGAGTGTTCCTGTGTATGTTTGATTGTGTGTGTTTTTGTCGGTGAAAAAATAAATAACCAGGGCTCTGCTAGGGCTATGTTATTACGTCTCAGCGCACCGCAGACTGGATGGAAAATCCAAAATAGTCACAAACCTGCGTTCTCACACGAAGTACAGCTGGGGTGTGTCAAAGCCCACAGCACCACTAATGTAATGTTTGACTGCCAAACAATACTGAGCCTACACACACACACACACACACACACACACACACCCTAACACATAGGGAATATTGAGTCTCATCTCTCCAAGGAAGGATGATATCACCCACCCTAGCTTTCCACCTTTTCACACACAATTACCAAACAGCAAAGGACTCTCTTCCCCTCTCTCTCTGAACTGGAATAGTAAAGTCTATAATTACAGCAATCAGTAGTGTTGACTTCACAACACCCCAACACAAACTACACTTCTGCTCATACACTGTGGACATCGATTCACACCCTGAGCCAGGTCGCCTCGGCGTGGAAGATAGGGACTGACGTGATGGATGGGCGTACGCTTTCCAGGCCGCTGGTCATCATCAGCTTGGCACTGAGGAACCCCCATTTCCTGCTTCACGCTGACCCCTTCCTGGCCCCATCAGCCCCGGGACGGGTCCAGGCATTCAGTCACATGGAGGGGGGACGGGGGGACGGGTAGGAGGCCGGATCACAGCTCACACAGCAGAGTGCAGCAGATTAATGTGGGTAAACACTCCAGGAATTGTCACTTTTCCTGAGGTTTCTTAAGCGCAAAGTAAATAAGAATAGTCACAATAATAATACATTTTTATTGCTACAGCAGTTTTCACAGCAGAGATAAAGTGCTTAGACAAGCCTAATAATAAATAAGCCAGACACAAATTAATAACAGGGCTACAGAAGAAAAAAGGACAGCCCCGTACACAGCTCAGGGTAGGTAAACACTACAGGATGTCTTTGCATTTCCTTGACATAAGCAAACAAAGACAATGTTTAAAACATTTATGATGAAGTTCCCAAACAAAAAGCCTGCAAGGTGTCTGGTACTGTAGATGAATATTCATAATAAGGAAAGACGGCAGTGAGAAAAAATCATGAGACACTCAGATCACTCTACAACAATCAGTGGAAGGAAGGTATAGCTGGAAATCTTGGCGATATTACTACAGATAACAAGTTCATCAGATTATAGAAACACATATGTAATGTGTGTTAAAAGATTTAAATCTAACTTGAAGTTGATTTTTTAAAATATTTCTTTTGGATCAGTTTTCCCTTTTATTTCCTGCTGGCTGTTATTTTTCCCCAGAGATCTCAAAACCACAACACCGGTGTGGCATTTATTACTAATACCCCTGTTATTGCTACAGTGTCTACACTATGTGGGTCTACTCTTATTTGTCTGGTTTTGAGGGCAGACAAGAAAAATACCATGAGAGAAAAATTATGATATTCATTTCAATTAGGACAATTCTTCCTAGGTGTAATCTATCATAGTCACCGTTCGTTTCCTCTGTAAAATGAAACATGAGCTCTTAACTTCATGTTGTATAATCTTGTGCGGCCTTCACATGAACCCTGCCTGAAGATAGTAAAAAATGGATGTGAACAAAAAAAAATAAAAGGGGGTTTTAAAAAAGACAAAAAAAGCTAATTTGGCACATTTGTCTCATAATCTTTCTAAGCAGTTATGGATCTTACAGATACTTAGAACATCTCCATATTGAAAAATATATATATCTGACAGCTATTATATTTTACTGGGAACTTCACTCTTCCATCCTCCCATCATTCCATCCAGCTTTCTACTCAGTGCGAGACATGTAATTTGTGTACATGGCCTCTGGTGTTGTTTTAGGCCGTGCTCCAAAGCCACTCTAAAAAGGTATGTGGCTTTGGCGGAGAGAATAAACAGCCACCTCATTTCATTCTCCCACGTCTCGGACGGTCGTCTCTGCTCCTCTCGACCCTGCCAGCTCCCCGATTCCAAAGAAAAGCACACATAAAACACAGCACTTTGGGGAAATCAAGAGGCAGGAGAGGGAGGGAAGGGCTGAATGGCTAAAAAAGGTTACAGCACTGATCCCAGAGTAGCTTAAACAGACCACAACACTGAAAAAAAAGTAGATACATGCCTGACTAAACATTTGTTTTCCAAAATATCTCAGATATAAAAGTTATTTTTCTTTTATTATCTTTATCTATAGTGACAATTCCAGCCAGATTAAAATCACAACAGAAGAGCATCCCATTCCCACGAGATCCAGCAGATTCACCCTGTTTGCTAGTATTATTTTCTCAAGTCAAGTATGAAAGTACAGACTCAAATCACAATATAAAGAGTACAATCCAAACAGCAAAAGACGCCACCTCCATCCAAAACACTCTCTTATCTCATTGGCTGCTGTTAGTATCACAGAGCAGCTACATTGGTAAACATTACCATGCCATATGCAGTCTGCTGAAGTCACAACTGTATCTGGGTTTTCAAGTTCACATTTTAATAGACCTCTTGCAGCTGTGAGGGTTTACAAACATAGCTTTATTATCACAGAGGTGGATTTGTAACAAACAATAGCACAAATGAATAAATCATGGCAGTATTGCAGCAGTTATGGGAGGGTCTTGTTTTTCTCAAACTGCAGGAGTCAATTGCTTTCAAGGAAGTTGTTGAGGAAGTCCTTATTATTCTACTTGACATTTATTAAGTGCATTTCCGCCAGTTAAAAAATAACAATGTGCACTAAAGGCAATCCAAAGAAATATGTGTTTTAGAGGATACACAACATTGGCAGTGACTCAAACTCTAAATATTCTCATCAGTTCGCAATATTAAGACAAAAATGAATCAGTGGAAAACTCAACCACCAAAGCAAAGCTATCATAACCATCAAACTACTGTTCAACACGATTAGAATAAAACATGCAGCTATGAGCCCGTTTCATCTACCAACCTCTGCTATTTTGCTTCTGGTGATCAACCTACACAGCAATAAATTAACTGTTCAAGAGACTATCTCTTGGACAGCACGGAGGAGAGAGATGACCGTGAATGTGCGTCTGACTAAGTAAAGACTTCAACAAAACTGCAGCTATACCTCTTTTGGCACCTAAGAGGCAATGAGTGAAGGCCTGACAAATCAGCGCTGACAGGTCCACCTCTACCTGGCCCCTTCCCACTCCCATCAACGTCGACGGTGTCTCAGACCTGACGGCTAACGGCCTGTGGCGCTGCAGTGAGGTCCGAGATTTCACAGCAGAAATGCCAAACACGATCGACGCAAACACACAAAGCCTTTCTCCTGTCATAAAGAGGATGTAGAGGTTGCAAGGGGAGGTCGTCCGTGTCTCACCTGGTTAAGAGACGCTTAAGACAGTTGGCAGGCTTGCTGGCAAGTTGTTTGTAGGCACAGTGGCAAGTGTAGGAGGTGATACAGCCTCCAGGACAAAGATGAGACAGACAGTGATGGGCCTTTTTACCTCAAACATGAGGTTATCTAAGAGACCAGGGCAAAACATGGGGGATATATGGGACATTAGGGTAAAATTTATATATTTTAGTTCTTAAATTAAAAATTAGAGGTCTGAAATGTCATCACTTGGAGATATCAGGAACCCTTGCCCACAGATACAGAAAAACTATTATTTATATAATATCAAATTTTTTTGGGCACTTCATTTTTTCTCTTACAGAATGATTTTTTGATAAGTAATTATTTATTTTTAAGGCCTTAGAGCGCAGCAAAATCAAAAAAAAAAAATATTTATCTGGGTTTCAAAAGAGTTTTGTTGCCACATAATATTATACGACACCTATAAATTTCTCACTCAGGCTTATAAAAGCCGACTGCTCTTCTTAGTCGACAACCATTTCCCCTGGTTTTCCCTGGTCCCTGATGTATCGTTGACTATACATCATGTGACAGTGAGTCTATTTGTGTCACAGCAGGTTGGGGAAAATGTCAGAAATGAACATGTCTTCAGCTCCTCCACACATCTGCTAAACAAGAGGCAGGAAGCTTTTTCTCTCCACAGTGCTGATGACTAGCTTCATGCAAATAGATTGTACCAAAAGTTGGCACATTTTCTCATTAAGATGTTCTAACTTTAAAGTTGGTTTGTCATCAGCAAAGGAAAAGGTTTGCACGTCATTTCAAAACTGCTTTTGGATTCATATTTGTACATCTGTAACTCATAGCTGTAAAGAAACTGTTATCTATATATCTAACGCAGATACAAAAAGGCCCAGGTGTATTTCCCTTAGGGCCCAACACAGTATCCATTACCATTCACCATCCAAAGCCATTAGTACCTATTGTATTTCTATTTCTAACTGTTAAGTATGATAAATATGCAAGAATTTGTCTAGATTGTAGATGTGAGAAGTACTTAATTCCCATCTCGTGAGTCGTGTGTCCTCTCTTGAAGCTGCCAGACAGCCACACGGTAAATCAAGCACGCCCTGTGCTGTTCAAACATCAGAAACCACACTCAAACACATTTTCCCCAACGTTCGTTATCCAGCGGCGGCAGGAGGAAACAAGGTGTGCAGCCTAATATGAGGATGCAAAGCAATCATGCAACAGCATATGGAAGGAGACGGAAACACTAAAAGCCTTTTATAAACCCCTAACAGATTCAACTCATTGTTCTCCAGATGCCAGTTAAGGGAGCCAATTGAGATTTTAAGCATTTCTGAACAACACGAGGTATTTAACACCAGCTTTCCACGCACACACCGCTTCACTTATTGTTTTTCCTTTGATGGAATTTTCTTCAAAGCACGCCTCTTAACGTTGGCGGATCATCCGGCTCGGCCCCCTCGTTTTTTCAGCTCAACTCCTCATTTGCGTGCCGAGGTGCTTTACCTTTAGGAAAAGAAATATCAGGGTTTATTAACGGCAAGAAGAAAAAAAAGCAGGAGGATCTCTTAGACTCTCACACAGAGTATTCCTCTCCCCGGGAGACTAAACAGAACAAGAAATAACATGAGCGGTGTGTATTAATGTATGCCCTTTGATGTCTGGCTTGCAGAGTCCTGTAGCACCATTAACAATTTAACTGAAACATCACATTTGTCAAAACTAAATTGTGCATCTAAGACTTGAGGTTGAGAGAAGACGTACGTGTCTTTCGCGGAGTTGGAGGAGAGCAAAAAGGCCCAATTAGAATTGTTTTTTGAACTGGAGCAGAAAAACCAAAGTATGTGTGTTGACGTATGTGTGAAAAAGAGAGAGAGAGAGAGAGAGAGAGAGAGAGAGAGAGAGAGAGAGAGAGAGAGGCTGTGTGCTCTGCTGCAAACGCTCACATCATACATTAGCTTAGCTCCCTCTAGTGTATAATTAGAGCACTGATCCATTTTTTAAAATCCAACCATATAACCAGAAACTATACATACAAACATGTGTGTTAATGTACACTACATCATGTTTGAATTTTCATTATTAAATAGGACAAATGTTGTAAGGCGTAGGGATGATTCAGGAGCACTTTAAACTATTTATTATTTGAAATATGCTCAAAGAGCCTAATAAGGTTGTTGTTTTTTACTAAAAATACTGCATGCTCTTACTTTTAAGGGTCTAAAAATAAGCAAAGTAATGATTTTCTTTCATTTTAAAATTTAGCGACAATTCACTGCAGCTAATGGTTGAAAAATTCCAGCTTTGTGATTTAATTTTAAATATCTGATGGACAATTAATGCCAGGGTTACACAGCTATTTTTAAAGATGTACCATGAAACCCTAAGTCAGATGAAGCCCTTGAGGAGTGTTTTCGCTGAGATAAAATATCATCAAACTAGAAGGAGAAACTGTGACTGACAACTGAATCTATGGTGCACTACTCATCTAAAAAGGACAACGGCAACATGGCCTTCTTTCATTTATAGCTAAAATTAAAACCCATGATGCTCGGGATTTAAAGAACACGTTTCTTACTGTATCAGTATCATAATTCAGAAAAGACATCAACTTTCCAGCCATTAAATTACTGAATAATATCTTCTTTAAAACAACATAAAATTGCATTATAACTGAAACAGAAATGAATGCTAGAATATCTAAATGTCTGCTCTAAATCAGAAACTCAGCCCCGATCATCACAAAATGTTTCTAAATCAAGAGAGAAAATACAGTCAAAACATAATGCTGCTCCTAGTCTTCAGTCCAGGACATAAAAATATCCTCCAGTCTTCATCTTTTATATCAAAAAATGTCAAAATGCACACAGAGTTGCCCTCAGACATGCCAGTAAACATTAAACAAATCTATTCAGCCCTCTGCAAACAAAACCCAAAACGTAATCATTAACCAATCACGCTCAAAGGCAAAGTAGCACTTGAATGGGAACACAGGCCGTGTTCAGTGGGTAATATCTGGCAATTAATCACTTGATTAATATGCCCTTAAACACACAAAGTGACAGTGACAAATTCTGTTCGCACGTTTGCGATCCCGAAAACGATAATTGTCCAATGAAAGTCTCATTTGTCAAACGGATAGAAAGGCAGAGCTTCCAGTTCAGTCCATGATATAACGCAGTTGTTTTTAATTTTTTTTTTACAGGGTTTGAATAAGTTGATACCTCAAGAACTGTGAAGTTGATTCCACGAGAAAAGTATTATTTTTTCTGTTACTGTTAAATACAGATCAGTTTTAGTTGTGCTTCAACAATATCATGAAGACAGTCTTTGAGAAACTTAAATAGTCTGTTTTGAAAAGAGAAAATTATCTTTATTTTTATTTTCTTGGATTATTAAACAGATGGCTACAACTATAACTACCATTTTCCTTCTCTCTAGAATAGTGCAGTGCCAGGTCAGTATGGTTTTAGCCTCAAACGTCCACTAACTGGGTGACTCAGAAACGTAAAGTAGGAAAAAACTGAACAAGGAAATTTATATTTGTCTTTGCTGAGCTCATGAATATCCAAATGTTACACAGTTTCATCATGTTTGTCACAGCCAATCACAGAATGACAAAGACAATCTGTATCAGGCATTGGCTCATGAGATGGATGAGAAAAGCGATGGAGAGATGGACGACCGATATAAGTATGATGTGATAATATTTCACGGATTTCATTCGGTGCTGCATTACTCCTTTAAAATATTATCCCGTGTTTAATCTGTCAGCTACACATTACTACTCATTAGTGTTTTAAGGTTTTGTTTTTCTTGTTTTAGTCAGTGCTGTAATGGCCCAATTCCCTCTCCTCGTTTTATATTTGCAAAAACTAATTGAAATTAACTGACATCAACAGTCACTTTAAAAAATAGAAGACTTACGTTGCAGGAATAGAAACTTATTTTGAACTGGAAGATGGTGACATTAGGTAAAAATGTAAATCTTTGACGACTTGTTCAATGTTAATTCATTTTTTTTTTGTCCAGGTTTACTGATTGATGAGTCTTTAATCCTTTAAGTAGTTTTCTATGCAAAAATTCAAAATATTCTCTGATTTCACCTTTTAAACGTCACAATTTTATATTGACTAGCATTTCTTACATTTTATGAAAAAACAAGGAAACAATTCATCAAAAATAATTGCCAGATTAATAGATAAAAGAAAATAATATTTAGTTGCCACCCCAATACACCTTGCTCATTGCTCTAAGTTCCCTTAGATTAGATTTTTCTTCAGCACAAAAACCAGCCAGAATCTGCACTACAAACAAGCCTGACTCTGGTGTGAAGTGCACCCGTCACCCAGCATATGACAGCATATTGCCACTGTGCTGTGCACAAGCCTTCAGTGTGATGTGTGCAGATGAAGGGCTGCGGCTGAGGGCTCGGCCAGGCAGCGCGGCGGCCCGGAGAGGAGCACTGGGAGCTGGGGGTTGCAGCAGCCAAGCTCCCCTGGTACTCCCCTAATGAGCTCCACTACTGCTTCCAACATGAGCCCTCGCTCCTCCACAACATCACACGCTCACAGACAGAGCAAGCAGGAGAGCAGTGGCACATATAAACACACACTCTGAGCAGCTGCAGCATGGAGAAAGAACATTACACACTCAGAGTAGCAATATGCATGTTAAAACATACAGAAGCCGTCCGAGACTAACGAGTACACACAGTCATATGTACATAGATGCAAAAATAGTCCCTCCACTTACACGCACCTCACAGCTGTTGCATAGCCCACTCCAACAGGGAGAGAGAGAGAGAGTGAGACAGTGAGTGAGAGCTGCAATATGCATGCATAAACACACTTATAAGTGCTAGACACACACACACACACACACACACACACACACACACACGTACAAATCTTGCTCCAGCTGTAGCAGGAAGTATGATGGACTGTAGCTTAGAGAATATTACACACCCCTCAGTGTATGAGACACAAAAACATGTAGAAAGTCTGATGCATACATGCTCACACACACACAAACACACACACAAACACACACACAGACAGCAAGCAACAGCAAGGAAGCAGTGTCATTACGGTTGGGTATCGAGAAATGGAATCAATTCAAAATAATTATTCATTCATAATTCAAAATATAGACTGAGAATTTCTTAACAAGCATGGTTTTATAATTCAACAAATGACTTCTGAATAGCTAGTTCTGGAGCAATAATGGATCTCATCCAAAACTGTCCTGTGGAGGAAAAAAACAATCCAAACCTCATGTGTATAAATTAATCTTCACAATAAAAGAGACCTGATCCAAAGGGGACCTGAGGACAGTCACACTTGGTCCAAAAGGATAATTAGACCCGACACAAAAATGTGGAGATGCGTACGATGTGCTCAAGAAGAACAGCAATGCACATTTTTTTCCTGCAGCAATAGACTGGACCCAACATGGACCCTGCCCAACTAGAGACCCAGGTCAGATATCTGTTACTAGGAAGGACCTTTGAACATATCTAGTCTGCACAACCAGTTGCTAGAGCTAAAAATAATTAACTGATTACAGAAAACAATTTTGACAGTCAATTTGTCATTTTTTAATGGAAAATCCCAAAAAAAAGAAATCTACTCTACTAACCAGTAAACCAATGCAATCTCCACAAGAATGTGGCTATTCTTGGCAATCCAGTGACAATACAATGAAATGTTATCACAAAGAGTGCAGCGTTGTTGATGTTGACCTGGAATTAGCTAACATGTACCAATAAATAAATACCTTTAACTTCTGCATTTTTATTTGAACTTTTTGTACCAAGCATAAATCTGCTGAAAATAAAGGCATCCATCTAATGTATGTGGCTCACCCCGCACAGGGCATCGCTAACCATCTCGATGGTCTCCTTATCCACAACAGCGGTGAATAAGACCAACAATTACTAACACTTACACAGAGATGCCCGATAATGTCTTCCCGAGAAGCAAACAAATTGAATTCGTTTTTATTCCAGTCAAAGAAATCAACTTCCAGTAATTACCCCACATGGCAAAAAAAAATAAAAAATAAAAACAGAGAGAAAGAGAGAAAGGAAGACAGAAAAAGAAAGAAATTTGCAAACTATATCATTTTTTTGCCGACCATTTCAACTAATCATATTGTAATAAGATGCCTCGCAATGGAGAGGGAATGGAAAACGTAATTACATGCATTAGTTTATCTAAGCGCTTGTACCGTCGCAGATCCATCAGTTTTTCAGAGCTCATCTGGAAGCCCATGCATCACTGTCAGGAGCCGTTTGATGGGGGGAAAACGTGTTCATTTGTTAGCCTCGTTTAAAAGATGGCGCCTCAGATTCACTTAGGCCTAGACGGAGCAGAGCGGTTATGACAGCGCTATTACAAAAACACACAAAAAAAGAGAAAAGGTCTGAGACAGAGCACTCTGCGCCTTGGCAACTTCATCAGCTTTTTGCATTAAGGTGATTACAGTCAATGAGAGGAGCCTGAGCAGTGTTGTGTATGTTAATGATGAGATGATGATACGGTAACAGCCACTCTACCTGGACTGGGGTTAGCTGGTGGTGAGAGCATAAGCTGACAGAGCATACTGGTGTTATCTATGTTTGCCTTGACCAAATGTCCTTCATGATAAGATAAGACTTTCATCTGAAACCAGAAAAGCAGATCTGCTTTGTCAATAATGTTCACTAAATGCCCATGACACAGTTGCATTTAATAAACCTGCGATTAAATAATATTTATACAAGCCTTGAAGTCTTCCTTGCACATTCCTCGATATATTACTGCTGTTTCAGGTCCATAATATATAACTGTTCACAATTCCATTAATCATTTAGTCTTGTCGTCTCAGTTTGAATAAATGCCTTCTCAGATTATCTAGCATCAGATTAGAGGTAGACAAAACTGACTTAGTTACATATGTTATTCAATAAAAGGTTGATATTGGCTTCACTTTATTAGTCTAAGTACAGTAGTTATATTCCCAGTGGAGCTCTCTGAACAGAGCAAAGAACTAACACTGTCAAGGTTATGGGCTGACTTCCCAAAGGGGCCTCTAATACTGAAAAAAAAAAAAAAAAGAAAAGTACTCTTTGTACTGTATCCATGATACACTGAAAACCAGAGCCAGCAGTTGGTTTTGAAAGGCTTCTTTTTAAGTTACCATCTATCTTCAAATAACATTACAGAAAAGTAAATTAGTTACAATGACAATAAATCCACATAGTAACTGTTTGATAAGGATAAACATCTGTCCACTTAAACTAGGACTTTTGTTTCTAGTGGCATAACCAACATATATGTTTGTGTTATCTTTAGCTCTCTCTTCTTCTCATGTCACTGAATGCTGCGTACTTTTAAGGGTTCAGGGTTAGGCTACACTTTCAACTCACCTCTGCTCGCTTGTACTTGTTCTTAAACAATCTAACTATCAGTTACCAAGGCCAGTGAGTACTCTTACCCAGACAGACGTTAACACACATTACAGAAATTACAAACAAAACTGAATCCTTTTTATTTCTGGTATTAGTTTGGCATAAAGCCACATGACAAGTGATCAGTGATCAAATGTATGTCACTGAAAATGATTTGATCTACACAGCACCAGTGAAAGTTTCTGTATGAAAACAAAACAAAAAAAACAAGCTTATTTACTTGAAATACAGGCTACATAATTAAACTTCCCCCTCCAGTGTGAGATGCAGGTCACTTGTTTGGGCATTTTACAGAAGTTATCAATTCTACCCAAACAATTAGCTCGGTTTTTGTGAGCACAATGCAGTTAATTATTAATTGAATAACCCTGAAAAAAGCTAAGCGGATGTTATGTAATTGATGATACAATTAACGAGTCAAGGTTTTCTGTAAATTGTCCTTTTAAAAGTCTGTAGCAGAAGAAAAAAAAACAACACAGGCTTATGCTACAGGACACCATTACATTCCTCAGTCACCGTCTCTCAACTCTTAATGGACGTTAAACACGGAGCTGAAGAAATACACAAGCACAATTGAGTTAGCGGGCACTTACAGGGGAGAAGCCTTGCCCCATACATTTGCGTAAGAACACATAACTGTCACAAAATTACATGTCATTATTGAGCAGATCGTATGGATTCCACTTATTGTTGCTTAATGGCCTCTTTTTTTAAAAAATGTGGTTAACCCGGCGTTTAAAGATAATGCCGAGGAGGATGCAGGGGTGTCGTCTTGCCCACCCTCCTGTCCTCCCTCAGCTCCCTCCTTTCAGTGAAAGCAAGAATCTCCTTATTCAGTTACATTTCAAACCTCAATTTCCGTTTGCAATCAGCTCATTAGGGCTGACGGCTTGAAAGGCAGCCATTAATGACACACACACACACACACTGCGGTTCCATGTCCAGGAAAGGCCTGTTTCTACTGCAGCCAGGACATCTGAGGACCTGAGTGCAGAGACAACAGCAGCTCAGAAGTAGAGGGAAGCCGCCCCCTGCTGGTCTTTAGAAGGAAAGCACCAAAAAAGAAAAGTGGATCTGAATTACCATAACTTTGTGTTTTCAGTTTAACTGAGGAGCTTTTTAGAGTTCTGGTATTTTTCTCAATAATTTTGACATCAGTGATGCATGTTTATTTCACTACATCTGAAGCCACGTCCTTTAGATAGAACAGAACATGTATCAGAGAAAATGGAGCCATTAGCAGTGAGCAATCAGTCACTATCTATTTTTGGGCTATTTATTTTGTAATCTCTTCCCAGGATTAATAACATATAGTATTTTGAGGGAAAGATTACATCCAGCATTATTCCCCTAACATTATTTTTCTTTTACTGTGTAAGCAATTGAGTCTGACTTAAAATGACTTCTTCTGCCACGGATAACGTACACATTTACGTAACAGCAGACACAGGAAGGATTCATCAGTTTCTGAGGTGTTTTCCAGGTACAGTATGTTAAGGCAGTTTAAATTCCTGGAGGAAAAGGAAAATTATGTCAACCTTACACATGAAGAGCTTTGTGCAGAAAGTGAGGAAAAGTCACAAATTCTTACACGGTGAAATATTTTGGCAGTAATGCCTGTGCCTGCATTACCTTTTGATTTAAGGCGACGATAGTATTTTATGTATATATTTACCTACATACTTACCTGCCTGCAGACAATTTTCATGCAAAAGACAACTACTATTCAAAGTAACACCCCAGAATTTACGCTTTGTTAGTGGTGAAAACGCCAAACGACAGTAAAAGAGCAGCAATAGCAGCTCGTTTAATTAGTGTGCAGGGAACTCTTGGATACACTGTTCCCTTCTTATAATATTTTTTTTGTATTTACTGCTTTAGTATCTGCAAAGAACCCGCTGATAAACCGCTCTTTTGTAAAGACCACACAAAGTAAATCTCAGTGTATCACACAGTTGATTTTAAAGGCAGTTCCAGACCGTCATCATAGAAACAGTGAATATGAACCATTTAATTTAAATCCAGTGATTTGAGCCTATAGTTGTATACTAACCACATGAGACTGTTTTATGTCTCTTCGTCTGTTTAATGTTGTACCAGAGCAGGTGTAATGTTTGATTCCCAAAACGGCAGCTATCTCATTTTGAAATGGAAATCTTAAGTATTAATTTTTTGGCAGCTTCTCTTGCATGATTCATGAAAGGCCGGTAGAGGGCTAATTGTTCAAATTAATTTGCGTAAACGACTAAGCAAGAGATAACAGAATTACATCTGCATTTCCCTGGCATGGGTTCAACGGTGACAGGCCTCGACAGGCAGCTGCATCAAGACGGCATCCTTGCCAGAAATTAAAAGCCACAAAACATTAATTAATAGACTTTTTGTTACGTTAATCTGCACCAAAAGGTTTAAGGAAAGCGGGGTGGGGGGAGCTGGGTGTTGCACAGCACAGCACAGTGTGCATAATTAGAATAAATTAGTTTGATGGAACATTTTTAAAAAAAAGTTTTTTTTATAAAGCGTCTGTGGGTTAAATAAGATATAGGTAGAAATAAAAATACTAGGGTTAGGGTTGGCGGGCGGGGGGGGGCGGCGTTGGAGTTAGGTTTTTGACAACTTCATTAATCACCATGGTAATGGAGCCGTTACAGTTAGAGCACATTTGGCCTTCTGTCTGAAAGCAGTCATGTCCGACGGTGGCGGTCTGTCTGTGCGAGCTGCTGCCTGGCCCACGAACAACCAGGCCGAGCCACAGGACTTCTGGGAGTGCGAAGGCAGAGCCAAGAGGATGTAGGAACATCAATCTCCTGGCGTTCAGCTCCTCCTTCTCCTGTTCTCCCCAAATTGAAGGAGCAGCCCATACTTTGCACTTGTCAATTTGGAGCTTTATCTACATGCTAGAGGCTAATGAGCCATCCCAAACTCTTGATGGCCAGGATGTAAATGATCTGAACTAGCTCTCTGTCTGCTGTCACAAGTTACAGGGCCACA